ATCGGAAGAATAAAAATAAAGAGAAATTTCACTACTTAACCCCGTACCTGCGCAATCCTAGATCAAGCTGAGCCTCATCACTGATGAGTTCTGCTTCACTCTGGGCAATTCTCATTGCAAGTTCACGATCACGACGTTCCTGTTCAAGCACTGCCTGGTGCTGGGTTTCCTCTTCTCGTTCTCTAGCAAGCTGAGCCTCAATTTCAGCCTGTTTAATAAAAACACACCATCAGCCTTATCCAATCAAACCCAATATGCTACATAAGGAAATTATTAGAAAAATATGCCAAGTAGTATACTTATAGCTTTCAAAACATGTAAAATTTACAAAACTGAAAAATAACAGCATTAGTATTCATTTTGACCCAAAAAATTCCAAATTACCTACAGATTGCCTCCTGTTTTTCATATAGCTTATCAAAACTTCATTTTCTACCACTGATATTACCTTTTCAAATTAAAGTCCCAATTTAAAAAACACACGGAGCTTTTTGTTAGTTATTATGGAATTTTTTAGAACGATGATCCAGAGCAATACAGTTACTTCTCCATAGCACTAACACAAAACTACCCTGATATTCTGCACTAGGCATTACAGGACTAGGCATTGCTTTGCATATAGGTCCATGGTTCTTTTCGAAAAGGGATCAAGAGAAACAACACTGCAAGCCTCTGTGGATCTAGCTTTGATTTTAAGCAAATGGCAAAATTCCAACTTGCTGCAATGCAGAAGCAATCCAGATATACTGCTTCTGCACAGCAAAACTGTAATTCCAGCCTAACATTATTTAACAAAGGTCTTGCACACACAGTAAGTAAAATGCAACCATCCAATTCATCCTTTTGAAAGTCATACAGACCAAGTCTTAGCAGTGCCTTTCTTGATGCCCAAAAGTCAACAAAGAAGACAAAGTCACTTTGCACTCATCATCATGCATTTTCATTACTAAAACCAGTGACTTTAACCTATGAATCTCATTTTAGATTAGTTGATAGTAAAAACCACTAGAAGAAAAGATGATGAGTAATTAACAGTATGTAGAAGAAAGAAATACCCTTATGGATTACATATCTGCTTTGTATCCAAACAAAGTATTTCTAAGTGAAAGTGTAATTTACATTCTGCATCACAGGTATCCACATCTCAGAAACAAAGAAACAAAGACAATCCCTAGAGATGCTTATAGTGCTGGCAGACCAAGTTGTTAAACCTCTTGGCAAGAGGCCATCTTGTTTACTCAGTGGACATAGTTTAATACATTTAAACTGTCCCTGAATGGAAACTTATTCCATGAATTTCTCACAAAACATTAGGCACATCTGCAATGATCTCCAAGCAATGATTTAGGGAGTAGCCAAATAGCAGCTTATTCTTTTTTTGTTTAGCTTCTGCGAGCTTGGTGATGCTTATTATTCTGATACAAGTGACAAGATGAAATAATACACGAAAGATTAATTTTTCATCAATCTAACCTATAATTTCTCTCTTAGTTCCAGTAAGAGTATGATGCAAGGAGTGCCCTGTGCTTGCTACAACTGCCTTTGCTGAGAAACTTTTTCTCCCAAGACTGCTCTCCCAGCTCAACCAGGCAAGCTCCTAGACAAAAGCATAACAAAGGTACAGGGGGCAAACACACCTCAGAGTGAGAGCTCATGATGGGATCAGTAAGAAGTGTCAGGAATCAAGGGGGAAGGGTCAAGGAGCAGGCTTTTAACTGCATGTATTTGTTCTGTATCATTTCATTATTACCAGTATTCTGAAAGTGTTTACAGTTAAACTGGTACATGACACAGCCTGAGTTCAGGTGTGACAGCGCTAAACCTGCCTGACATGAAACATCTGCAAAAACTTCAAAGACTAACATTGTTAACTTTAAAATAACTGAAAAGACCCTTTAAAAAAAATGCACCTCTTTTCAGAAGACTTGAACTTGCATATGGACTAGAAATAGGTGGTCTGTCTTTGGATGCTCTAATCATGGCATTTTCACCTTACTTTTGTTACTAAAGCAACATTGCTGAATGACTCTGATACACACATTTCTAAAATTAAGCCATTAGCAGCAATGTAATACCTAAACCATGAAAGAGATTTAAAAAAAAATATTAAAAAAACCAAAACTAAACCCTACAACAACAATAAAATACCCAAGACCCCCACGCAACTAAAAAACTCACCTGAATACGCTTTTCTTCCTCTTCCCTCTTTTTCCTCTCTTCCTCTTCCTGTTTTCTCTTGGCCTCAATCTCAGATTTCCTATTACAAAAGAGGAGGAAATGAAAACGTGTTATTATGATGCAAGTGAACTAGAGACAGGAAAGCACCTTTCATTAAACTGAATGGTAATCCAGAAGTCAGGACAGTCCTGATGACAGGACCACTACATGTGAAGTCAATAAACTTTCCAAGTCCATTTGTATTTCAAACTGCATCCTATAATTTCTTCCATACTCTGTTCTGACTAAACTTACCTTATAAATCACTGGGAAAGAAAATTTTTTTAACACTCCACACCAGGAGTACAATCCAGGTGATTCTCCTTAAGCACAGGAGTATTGGAAGCAACCTCATTAAAGTGCTTTTCCTGTTTTCTTCTGATTCTATAACCAGCAACTTATACAAAACTCACAGACGTCTTTCCTCTTCTTCCTTTCTTCGTCGTTGTTCTTCCTCATCACGTCTCTTTCTTTCTTTTTCCATTTCCTCCTGGATGCGTCGTAGCCTCTCTGCTTCCTCCTCTTGCTGCTTCCTCTTTTGCAGTGCACCGAGAAGTTGCTCTGAGCTTCTAACTAGAGCATCATATTCTTTCTGTATCTGTTCCCTAGTCATTAAAGTGGTCTGCAAAATGAAGTAATAAAAGAGGATTATATTCTTTCACATTTGTAATTTGCTTTTTAAAAATGCATATTGAAAAAATGCAAAGTAAAATGAGAGCATGAAGTGGTATAATTAAATTATATACACACACTTCAGGGTGAGGAAGCTTAAGCCCATCCTTCTCTCCCTGTCTAAAATCCTGGAAATCCATTACTCTCCTCTCTTATGTAAAACATGCAAAGTAATCTTCATTTTATCACTGAAATTAAACACGACTTCTCTTTAAAACATGCCTTTATATTTAAACCTTGCAGTTTCAAGCAACACAAATTAATTCTCACAAAGCTAAGATGAAAACTAAGGCCTCCTATGTGCATTTTTTGGTTACTTACAGCTCTTTTATGTCACATAGCAGAGAATAGTTTCTCTTAGTATGTGTGCTAGCACTCAGAAAAAGTATTAAGACTGTTCTGTGACTAGCAAATAACAGGTTGAAAATACTTAAAACATTAGCTCTGGCTACATATGTTCTCAAGGCTCATTGATAGCTACAATTTCATTTCATTTTACAATTAAAATTTAGATAAACTAATAAAACTGCAATATGGGGTGTTTGCTGACCTTTTCTGAGGGTGTATGATCATCAAATTTATCTTATTTTTATTAGAAAAGAGAACTACAAGTTGACAGGTTAACTCCATCATCTTCTCAACTGTGATTTTACATAGAAAATTCTTAATATAGGATGCTAAGAAAACTCTAACATTGCATGACACATAAATTCATGACATCAAATTTTTTCTATTAATGAATGCCTGTGTGCTTTCATTTAGTCTGTGTGACTGTGGTAAGAAACTGAGAACTACAGTAACTGAAGAATAATCAGCAAGCTGATGTAATTTTACTACCAAGTCTGAAAAACAAAAACTTATAACTGGAACATAAATCTCTTCACTCTTTGGTGAATGGTTGTACACTTTAGCCCTGATCAATTTAAAATATTGCTAATATGCATTATTGAAATATTGAAAGCAAAAAGAAAAATATTAACAACACTTGTCTCACAATATCAATGTGCAATTTTGCTTTAAATTCTCCATTACCAATTTTGAAAAACAGATAATAATATCAGTCTAAGTGATCACTCATCCAGTATAAGGACTCACTTCAGTACATTCCCAAGTCATTTGAAACAGGATTTACCCATTGTCTCTGAAAATTAAGAACTCTATATTAAAACAGCTTTTCCGGTAAGAAAAATACATTTGCCTTATACTTTAAATTTTTAAAAAATATTCCAGTAATATGACACTACTTCTCTGATTGTTACCATACCTTAATTTTGGTCATTGAAGCATCAATAGAATGCTCCAGCTCCTTGACTTGCTTGCTTGTCTCTGCCTTCCCCTCCTTCAGAGCACTTACTACCTCATTAAACTTATCAAGTCTCTTCTTCAGGGTACGCACTTTTATCAGGCCATCAATGCTGTGAAGGTGAGACAGTTTACTTGTACCTTGGGATGTTTTTACAAGATTATATTTTTTAAACTAACACTAATGACTCATATTAAAGAGGCAGATAGAGGAGACAAGTTGTGCTTTCTGATAAAACTTACCCTCTTTTTTTGAAATTAAAACTTTGTCACACAAAGTAACTAAGCAACGAAGTGTTTCGCAAACAATAATTACAGCTGATTAGGCAGACACTGACTCAAAATGGAAAAATGCATTTTTGTTTTGAGAATTAATGTAGTTGGTTGGTTTATTTTCATTAACCTTGACTGGAGTGGATAAAGGTTAAGTTGTGCCACTTACTCAAAGAGCAATAATGGGACTGAATCGGATAAAAATTCACTACACAGCCAGGAACCCAGACTAGATCCCACAGGAAATAAAAACAAAAATAAAAAAAAAAAGCTGGCAGAACAATGAGACCAGAAAAAATGGACCTTTTAAAAAAAACAATACTGAAGGCCACACATACAAGCTACAGCTCTGCAGAGACAGTCTTCCTAGAATGAAATAACTGAACTGGGATTCAGGAAAACAACACACAAAAAGTAGAAACTAAATCAAATCATTAAAGAGAAGTACAAAACAGCTTAAAAATATAGAGACATGGTCAGAAATGCCAAGCTACAAAATGAAACACAACTATCAAAGGATGTAAAATAAAAGATTTTATAAGGACCTCAGTATTAAAGAACAGAGAGTTGAATCTCTATCAAAGAACAAAAAGGTATCAGTAGAGCCTAATGATGAAAGCGTTTTTTTCCAACAGTATTCCACACAGTCAGATTAAAGCTAATGGAATTACTTAATTTCAAGAGCAGACAAAACAGAACACTGTTTTTATGATAAAAAAAGAAATGGGGCTTATTAAAGAAAGTGTGAATGGGTAAAGGACAAAAATTACTAAGTTTAAATTTAATTTAGAGAGACTTAACTGAAGATTTTTAATAACTAGTCCATCACTGAAGGATTTTATGAACAAAGATCTAAACAACTGTCTCTTAGGAAGGGTTCAGATTAATCTATTCATCCTTGGGACAGAGAGAAGGAACATGGCACCTCTCAAATTCTCTTTGAGTCGTACTTAGTATCATTCTGGGACTTCTGATGTATTTAGTTAAGCACAGTAAATCTCCTCTTTACATTAACAATAAAATATATAAAAATCCATTTTCTTCAACCAAGGTATATCCTCTTACCGTGGTTTGTGCTTTCTCTTGCAAAGCCACATACGAATAGTCTTCTGTATTTTAATGCAGGCACTGGCTCGATATTTGATCTTATTTTTCACTATAAACACACAAAAGAAACTGGGTTTCAATGGCTTATGTAATTTAAAACAATTCCTGTATTACTCACACATTTGATGGCTCAAAAGTGTGTGTAGATTACATGTGCTTGAGACCTAGGTCTGTGCCAGAACCTCAATACTTAAGAGACAGCAGACAACAGGGTAACCAATCCTGCGCCAGGCACAGAGGTTCCATACAAAACAAACAGGAAAAATTAATTGTGTGCACACTCACACATGTGGGCTACCTTCCCTCCAGAATCACAGATGTCAGGAACTTCTAAGTCACCTGACATAGCAAGCAGGAAATGCTCAGCTAGAAGTTTAAATCTTGTGCTGTAGGGTAACCAAGTAGCCAACATCTACCTGAGATAATGAAGCAGCTGTAACTTAGCTGAGCATTCATCTGCATTACTGAAAGAACAAAAAACAAAACCTCCAGCTGTTGTTCTTAGAATACCAGTTTATAAAGACTCAAATGATTGGGACCAAGAGGCAAGCTAAACAGAGAATAATAATGTCAAGGCACAGGCACAAGCATGTGTGCTGAGTAGCCCAGATGTTCAACAATAAATGCAGTTTTGATGTATCTAATGGAGAAACTGTATATGCTTAAAGAGCCATACGGCCTTTAGTCATCAGCTGAGCACACTGGTCATGAACACTGTATTTAACTACTGGACTTAGACTGTGACAAAGGTTCACTCCACATGTATCTATTTCTAGTTTGTGTATCTATTTCTTATTCTGAGGACAAAATTAGTTTCTAATTTCCCGTAAAACACTAAAAACCAGTAAGGCACATAATTATTCCCTTGATTTTCTACTTTTTGGACAAAGGGACAGACTTTCTTACATGTCTTTCTGAAATATAGACTAAAGGGCATAAATTTCTAGGTCAAAAATATTACAACAGTGTTACAACTTCTGATGTCTGAAACCTATGATAAGAATTCACAAATTCTGTTTGCCCCAGTATAAACAGCAAGAAATAGTATCTGACCAGTGACAAACACAGATGTCCCAAATGCCCAGCCATAAGGCAATATGGCGTTCATGCTTTTCTTCCCCATCTTAATGCATACTTTTCACCCTCTGTGTTACTAGAGATCCCTGACATCCTGCATCAGTCCTTTCCCCTTCTCCCAGACATCTTTTCTGAAGCGCCCCACAAGCACCAATCTCTCTTTCACACCACCTCATTCCTACTCTGCAAAGTAAACAGGGCAGGCCAAGAACTTAGAAACTGTGTTATGAATAATGACAGGCACTTATTAACCAATCAGCACCAATTGCTGGAGTGGAAGATGTTTGCCCCACAATTCAGGTCAGTGCTTTCAAAAATGCAGTTTCTGGCCAGAGATGATAGCCCCTGTGCAAGCACTTCCCAGAATTAAATGCTTCCATGTTGTCAGCTGAGAGTTGAACTACTCTTCTTTCCT